TTCCTTTCTAAGTGGTACAAAAGCAGTGAATATATTGGAGAATATAGCTGTAGGTCTACAAATAAGATAAGGAAACACAAAGGAACATATTATATAGTGTAACACTGTATTACATGAATTAATGGCGCAAAATTGCACTCACAGGATTAGGTAGAATAAATCGAAGAAGGGTTCTTCCCCCGATGTTAATGAGGGGCTAATCCAGAACGCCTCTTCCTGTAGCAGTGAGGCCAGTGGTGTATCCTGGTTTTGTGCTGCCCTAGGCACACACACTAACAGACACACACACACACACTAACAGACACACTCACACTAACAGACACACACATACACAGTCAGACACACAGTCAGACACACACACACACACTCACAGACACACACACTAACAGACACACACACTAACAGACACACACACACACACTAACAGACAGTGGGGCCCCGGTGCGAAAATTGATCCGTGGGCCCCCCCCTCCCTGCGCTTACTTGGCGTGGGTCGGGGCCGCAACACATGGCGGCGGGCACCTGGTCGCAGGGGTTGCAGGGCTGGGACCCCGCGACCACGGTATGCACACACACCTAAAGGACCACTACAGACACGCAGATCACATCAGCTCAATGAAGTGGTCTGGGTGCCAGGTCCCTCTAGTTTTAACCCTGCAGCTGAAAACCTAGCAGTTTCAGAGAAACGGCTGTTTCACTGAGGGTTAATCCAGCCTCTGGCCTCATTGACAGCCGCTAGAGGAGCTTCCGTGATTCTCACTGTGAAAATCACAGTGAGAAGACACTGAACGTCCACAGGAAAGCATTGAGTAATGCTTTCCTATGGGTGGTTAAATGCGCGCGCGCCTCTTGCCGCACATGTGCATTCGGAGCTGAGAGGCGGAGGGATCCCCAGCACCAAGGGAGTCCGGCGCTGGAGAAAGGTAAATGCTGAAGACACACACTCTCACGAACAGACACACTAGCTAACTTACTTACAAAACATACACTTTCACTGACAAACACACACTCACTAACAGACATTAAACACACTCAGTAACAGACACACACAGTAACACACTCACTGACACTCATTAGCAGACACACACCCAATAACAGACACACTCACTGACACTCATTAGCAGACACACACCCAATAACAGACACACTCACTGACACTCACTAGCAGACACACACACTAACACACACACACACTAACACACACACACACACACTAACACACACACACTAACATTTAAAAAAAAAAATTAATCCCCCCAGCCTCCTTACCTTTTGGAGTGCTGGGGGGATTCCCTGGGGTCCAGTGGTGCTGCTGGGCGGCCGGTCACTGGGTGGGCAGGCTGTCTGGGTGGCGCTCTCCCCTCAGTGCTTCCTCTTCAGCTCTCTCGCGCGCCACGTAACAGACACACACACTAACAGACACACACACACACACTAACAGACACACACACTAAAAGACAGACACACACTAACAGACACACACACACTCACATTTTTTTTTTATTTAACCCCCTCCCAGCCTCCTTACCTTTGGGAATGCTGGAGGGTTCTCTTTCTCCCTGGGGGTCCAGTGGGGCTGCTGGGCGGGCGGTGTTGGCGTCATATTCCGGCTCCCAGCCTCACTCTGCAGTGCGCGAGGGAGCTGAGCAGAGTGCTCAAGAGGAAGTGCTCCCTTGCCAGCCGCCCGCCCAGCATGTCAGTTAGCTGCAAAGCTAACAAGTCATTTGCTCTGGGCATTTGGGGGCGGCTTTTTTTGCCGCCCCCTGGAAAATGCCGCCCAAAGCAAATGCCTTGTTTGCCTCGCGGCTAAAACGTCCCTGAGTGAGGCTGCGAGTATGGAGAGCCAGACTCAGGTATCAGGTGAAAAAAGACTGCTATTTATTATATAAAGTGTATATAAAAAAACACTGAAGTATTATAATGCTAAAAACAAAGCAAAATCAGTTGCTAGGAGTAATCCTACATGTTTCGACCCAAAGGACTTCCTCGGGGACTCTCCAAATGATTTCAGCAACAAGTATAGAAATAAAATTGAAAATGAAAATAAAAGAAAATAACAAGAAAAGTGACAAATAAAATAAAATAATTACAATGCAACAAAGCTTTTTCCATTGTGATTGTTTTAATTGATTTGTTATTAGTAGTTGTAGTAGTATACATTATGATAATATATTATTAGTAGTTTTTATATATATATATAGAGAGAGAGAGAGAGAGAGAGAAATTACTGCCGCATATCTCACATTGGACTTCAGAAAGTCCCTCTTGGGCACTACTAAGAATTAATGTTTCCACATCTTTCCTAGAGTTCCCGGCGTGACATACAAACGATCACAGACAGATTGTATATGTGGTGGATTGAGGGATACTTGTATTCACTGTTGATATAAAGACTTCATTCTGCAATTCTACATATACCATTAGCAATGGATGCTTTTTAAAACACAGCTTTTATTAAACCAAAGCACGGGCTGTGATCCAAAAGGCCCAAAAACCAGAGGCCAGCCATGGACTGCGCAGTTTCGAGTTAGATATAGGGCCCAATTCAAAATTCTGGCGCTTGCTTACAAATCCCTACATAATGCTGCTCCAACATACCTATCCTCCCTCATACACAAGTATGTCCCGTCGAGACCCCTGCGCTCAGCCCAAGACCTACGCCTATCCTCTGCCCGGATCCCCACCTCTGATGCTCGCCTTCAAGACTTCTCCAGGGCTGCACCTATTCTGTGGAACTCCCTTCCCTCCTCAATCAGACTTTCACCCAGCCTCCACTCCTTCAAAAAATCTTTGAAAACTCACTTCTCATTAAAGCGTATCAATTAAACTGTCAGCAGGTTTCTCATCCCCCACCCCATGACTCCGTTCCTGCACCTGTCAAAAATGACCTACCAAGCACTCAATAAACCCTTCTGTAACAAACTATTTAATTCCCCTACTTTAACCCTTTGTGTCACTATACCCCACTCCCTCTAGCATGTAAGCTCATCGAGCAGGGTCCTCAACCCCCTCTGTTCCTGTACGTCAGTGGTCTGATCTCAATTATGTGTCTGTTAGTCCACCCATTGTACAGCGCTACGGAATTTGTTGGCGCTATATAAATAATAAAATAATAATAATATATATATATACACACACACACATTCACTCGTATTATTATTATTATATTTCTTATATAGCGCCTGCAAATTCTGTAGTGCTGTACAATGCATTCATATATGTATACCCACGCTATATACATACGCATATATACTGCCCCCATAATGCCTTCTTGGGCGTACCCACCAGCTCCACTATGCCTACACTCCACCGAAATGTTAGTCAGCAATGGCCCCCTTATCATGCGTGCTTCTAACCACCCTGGGCTCTTTGTATCCTCCCCTCCCTGTGTTTTCCACCATCTTTCTGAGCTTAAAATCACCCTTTCTATAGCACTCAGTGTGTCACAGGTCTACACCCCTCTCCTTGCCCCCCACTCTCTGTGTCACTCACTCCGTGCCCACCCATTAGAGCCAGACTGTGCCTCCTCTCATCCTCTGTCCTCCTTTATCTTTTCTTTATGTTCATCTGCTCATCCTTCGCTTGCCAGCACTCCCTCCCCATGTGTTCCCTCCCTTAATTTGCCTGCGCTTACCTCCCCCCCTTCCCCTCCCTCTTTTCCCTGTCTGAGCCTCCTTCTCTGTTTCCTTCATTCTTCCCTAGTGAATAGGAGTGTTGATTCACTGAAGGAATGAGACATCTTTTCAGTATGCGCAAATAATGACACACACAGATACACTCATTCCTCCACACGCCAATATTAATGGCAATAGCATCACATATTCATACGTTGAGGGGCACACAAAGGCAAGCTCGTGCAATACACTTTAAGAATGATTCACTAAACTGAGAATTATTAGGCATTAATTGAAGATTGTAGACCACAATAGCTGATCGGGCAAAATTGCTGCAATGATCAATTTTTTTGTGTAATCAATAACTCCAAATGTCACACATGCTCTGATTTCCCATAGGACTGTCCACTAAACTGGGATTGACAAGAGAATTGAAAATTGTATTTCAATATAGGAGAATTATAGGGGTGTGAGGGGGAATCAAACAGCAATTTGGGTTTTTTTCTGCCGTTCGGCTAATTTTGCCTAAGATTTGCAAATATCTGGTCAATTCCTGGCACTTCTGTTACAATTCTTAGTGAATTAGTGAAAAAAAAAACTTGTGGGTTTTTAGATCTTGGGTTAGTTGGCTGCAAATGACCACCAACATGATCCCTTGTCCTATTTTTTTTAGTAACATAAAAAATGATACATTCACACTGTGTACAATGGTTTATGTGATACCGTCAGCAAAAATCTAAACATTAAACTTCTTGTGGCATAGCAACTCTTATTATTCTCAGTCAACCACTGACAGAATATAAGAAGGAAAGACCAAAGGATTAATTCAGTGAACAAATGAATCTGACTCGTGAGAATTGTACACCGCTGTGGAATTTGTTGGTGTTTTATAAATAATAATAATGAGACAAACTAGTGCTGACACAGTACAATTGGGTCTGGCAGTAAAGAAGAGCCTCTTACTACAATGGAGATGGGTACAGGAGTTACAGTAACACTATAGCGTTAGGAATACAAACATGTAACGCTCTAGTGCCTGCTTCTTTTCTGCTTTTAACACTCGAGTTAAAACACCAACGTCTGCCAGTGTATGTAAAAGGGTAACTTTGTAGGTGACTTTACAGGGGGAGGGATACTAGTGTAAGTGACACAATTATACAATGTGCATTTATTTTATTTCAATGGCACTTCCAGGAATAGTTTCCATTGTAAATGTTAAACTACAGTAAATAGAAGGTATTGTACGCATAATAGTTCTGCTTTATTTACAGAGCTATAACAAGTCTATTTTACAGGTTACATTACAATAGAGTAGAGGTAAAACATGTGCAGTAAGTATACAGGGTAGGTATTTTATTTACATAGATAAAAGATAACATATATATTCTACCACTCCACAACACCTTCCCCTTTTCACTACGTCCTCTAACCCCCTCTATTTGCTGCACAAGAAATATCAACACCTTTTCCAGAAAGTATCATTTGCAGTTCTCCAGACCCCCTGGCACTCACCGATACTCTGGATTTACTCTTTGGGCATTGAAGCATTGCTCTACTAATTTATGGAGGTCTTCTACTTTACCACACTATCTACACCAAGGGCGCCCAAAATGTAGAACTCCTGAAGTTTTAAAACTACAACTTCCATGATACTGTATCATTCTAAAGACATGCAAATGCATGCAAAGCATCATGGAAGTTGTGGTTCTGCAACATCTGAGGATCTACCTTTTGGGCAACCCGTCTTCACTCGTTTTCTTCTCCTCTTCATGTCCAAGTCCATGCTATATATATATATATAAGACACGTTCTTTTGGTATAGTATTCCATTCATTTCCCATTTCTGCTCATCTTGGCCTTCTCCTTAAAGGACCACGGAAGTGACCCAGGCCACGTCATCTCAATGAGGTGTTCTGTGTGTGTTGTTCTGTCCTTTTAATCCTGCAATGTAAAATATTGCAATTTTTTTGAAACTCTTTGCAGGGTTAAATTCACCTCTAGTGGCTCTTTTCAAGACAGTCACTAGCGGCACTGACTTAGTAAAATTCAGTAACGTGACATGGAAGCCCCTTATGAAAGCATTAATTCAGCGTTTTTCTATGGGGAAGCTTGGATGCTTGCCACCACACGCTGCGTATGTGCATGGGGCTCCTTAATGCTCCTCTACGAGAAGCATTGGATTGGACCATCGTGGTGGTAACCTCGGCACTGAAAAATGTTATTAAAAACATTTGTTTTATTAAAACTTATTGGAAAAATGGGGGGACCTCTGTAACTAAAGACAGGGACACTAAGGTGAAGGGAATACAAGTTTAGTTTCCAGCTGCCTTTAACCCCTTAAGGACACATGACATATGTGACATGTCGTGATTCCCTTTTATTCCAAAAGTTTGGTCCTTAAGGAGTTAAACACGCAACAATCACTCTTATTGTAAAAAAAGTCCCCACCAATCCCCAATTTCCTGTATACTAACCAAATATATTGCACAAAGGCTAACATCAAACTATAGCACAATGGTTGATTCAACAACATTAGATAGTCCAAAAGGACAGCACTCCATGGACTTGATGTAAATTCACAATCTGTAGTGAAACATTGACCGAATAAACCAACCTGTGAGTATTTTACAAAAGAACTCCCGGGAGTGATTTCCTTTCGGACTACATCTTTTTATTTCAACACTTTATTATTATTCTTCTTCATCGGTGTCAGATTATGTTTGCCCGTGGTCCTAGGCAAGGTGCCAGATTGGGGCCCCCACCTTGTGCCCTCGGCTCGGTTTCTCTGAGTGCTGTGTGTTGAGTGTGTATGTTGTGGCTGAATGTTGTGTCTGTGGAGGAGGGTAAGAACTGCATGGAGGAAGGCTGTGTGTGTCTGTGTGGTTACTGAATTGTGTGTTTCCTAGAGGAGTCTGATGGTGGCTGAGTGTTGTGTGTTGGTGAGCTTAAGTGTTGCTGAATGTGCTGTGTATGTATGTCCACCCCTTCTTCCAGGCTTACCTTCTATAGGGGTTGAGTAGTTACCTGGTGGTCAGGTTTGGGGAGCTCCATTGTCTGCACCAATATTAGCAACAGACCTCTTTAAGAGTGTCCTCGCGGTTCCAGCACTCAGTCAAAGGTCCATGAGGACGTCCAGTGTCAGATTCCAGAAGCCCTCTAGTGGCTGTCTGGTAGACAGCCACAGAGGGCAGACTTAAAGCTGCAATGTAAACATGAGCCGAAGTGGTCTGGATGCCTACAGCGTCCCTTTAATGACTCAGAGCACTGGCTGTGGCCCTCTGAGTAATTCAGAAGCACTGGGGGACTGCGAGGGTGTGGTTTATACCTCATATTGTTTTCTTATAACTTTATATGCAAGATTTAGGAAACTATAGCATAATTCAGTTTAGACACGACAAAGCTAGGGCAAACATTATAAATGAAGAAGGGAAATAGAAAAAAATATGCCAGATGATTTCACTGGTTCCCGTGGTGATGCATACCTCCCAAGTGTCCTGATTTAGAAGAAACAGTCCCCATTTTGCATCTAAATCCCTCTGTCCTTATTTCTATTATAATGGCTCTCTTTTGTAGGAGCTCAGCATTTGTAGTGTGTCTGAGTTAATACCAGAGCTCCACAGCAATAATACTCCCAGTCATGTTTCTTGAAACTACACTAAATGTGTTAAAAAAAAATCAGTCTGTGTAGATAAGATACATTGGTCTTGTTCTAAATTACATTTTAGTTGCATAAATTGTTATTAGTAAGTCATCTAAAAAATTTCACAACAGCCTTGCCCCTGGTCACACCCCCACTCACACCCCTAAAATGAAAGTGTCCCTCTTTGTACATTTCAAATGTTGGGAGGTATGGCAACAGCCCAACTTATAGTACGCTAGACCACATTTCAGCATACAACACTTTTTATACATAATTCCCATTCTTTAAAGTCACCAAAACACCTTTAGCTTAATGAATCGGTTTTGTTGTATAGATCATGCCCCTGCAGTCTCACTGCTGAAATGCCATTTATGCATTTAATCACTTTGTTTGTGCAGCCCTAGTCACACCTCCCTGCATGTGACTTGCACAGCCTTCCAAACACTTCCTGTAAAGTCATCTAATGTTTACACTTTCTGTTTTGAAAATATTGTTTAATTTAGAATTTCTTACCTCCTGCTCTGTCAGTAGCTTGCTAGACAATGCAGGAAGCATGTATGTAATTAAAGTTCAATTTACAAAGCAGGAGATACAAATTTTAAACCCATTCCCGACCGAGGACGTACTAGGTACGTCCGACAAAAAACGGTCCTTAAAGACCGCGGACGTACCCAGGACGTCCTCAAAGACCTACTTACTTACTAGATTGCTGCTGTTCCCCCGCAGACGATCGGTGTTCCTCTTGTTCTGGAGGGACTGTCTGACAGCCCAGACAATCCCCCCTCCGCAAATTAGGCCCCCGCTGGCCATGTGATCGAACTGAAAGAGCAGTCACATGGCCACAATAGGCGTCCATTGTGCTGCCTGCAAAGCGACTGTCTGAACTGACAGGCAGTCTCCCTGCATGTGTAAAATACAAAAAAAAAATTTAATAAATAAAGATATAGTTATATAACGTAACAGATTTTGGCGGTCAAAGTTATAAAAATAGTGTTTTTTTTTATTATTTTGTTATAGTAAATTATATGATATGATGAGAATAATGGTATCTTTAGAAAGACCATTTAATGGCGAGAAAAACGGTATGTATTATGTGTGGCTACAGTAAATGAGTAAGAGGACAATTACAGCTAAACACAAACACTCCAGAAATGTAAAAACAGCCCTGGTCCTTAACGGTAAGAAAATTGAAAAACGGTCTGGTCACTAAGGGGTTAAAGTAAGTTACATCTGATTTAAAGTGAAGCCATTTTTTTCAAGCACACTGTATCAGTCACAGCCAGGGGAGGTGTGGCTAGGGCTGCATAAACAGAAACAAAAGTGATTTAACTCCTAAATGTCAGAGAATTGAGCAGTGACACTTCAGGGGCATTATCTATACAGCAAAACTGCTTCATTAAGATAAAGTTGTTTTGGTGTCTATAGTGACTCTTTAATTTCTCCTCTTCTGTAAATGTGTTTTCTATGCTGACAGCCAGTTGCAAAGGACAAAACTTTTTGCAAAAGTTGACAGGGAGCTAAGATGGAGGCGCGCAGCTGCATGACATAAAGGTGAGGATATCTACATTTATTTTTTATTTTTCACAACTCACAAATATATATTTGTTAATGTGTTTATGTTGAGGCGATAAGTAAAAGTAATATTGAAAATCCAGGAAAGTGCAAGTTCCCCTTTAAGCATGATGACCATTGTGGCATACAACAGCTGAGGTGCCAGACTTCGCCTAGGTCTGTTTCATCTAAAAAGGAAGTTCTAAGAATTCATACACAGCGATTTTACAGTGTGAACCACAAATAGTGCCGAGATTCAGTCATATTGCTCAGTAAACCACACAGAGTTGTAATCACGTACATCCCATGTGAACACATTAAATGGAGTTATTCGCTAAAGTCAGAATTCAAAGTAAATTTCTAATTGAATTTGAACTAGAAACAAAGCTAGCTGACTTGAATTGTTTCAGATCGTTTATGTTGACCTTAAATTTGAAATTCAGTTTGAATTTACATAGAATTCTCACTTTAGTAAATACGCCTGTAAGTGTCACAAATTTGTGCTGTGATGGGAATAATTTCCAATACCTGAGTTAAAGTCTTCATTATTAACTGAATTTAACTGTACCATCAAGAAAATATGCTATTATTTTAAAGGGACACTATAGTCACCAAAACAACTTCAGCTTAATGTAGCAGTTTTATTGTATATATTATGCCTCTAAAGTCTCACTGCTCGATTCTCTGCCATTTAGGGGTTAAATAACTTTGTTTTGTTTGTTTAGGCACACCTATCTGCATGTGACTTGCACAACCTCCCTAAACATTTCCTGTAAAGAGTCATCTAACAACTTCCTTTATTGCAAATTCTGTTTAATTTAGAATTTTTTATCTCCTGTTTTGTTAATAGCTTTCTAGACCCTGCCGGAGCCTCCTGTAGCTAAAGTTAAATTTACAGAGCAAGAGTTACTAATTTTTAAAGTAAGTTACATCAGTTTGAAAATGGAATAATTCTATTTTAATGCAGGTTGTGTCAGTCACAACCAGGGGAGGTATCGCTAGGGCAGGGCTGGCACTTACTATAGGCGACTTAGGCAGGTGTGCCGGCCCCCCTCATGCTGCAGCCACCTGAGCGCTCACCTCCCCTCCCTGATCGCCGATTGGTGCAAATTGGTTCTCACCCTTTTTCCTGATTGGCCGCCGGTGGTTTTAGCAGGTAAATTTTAATCACCGGCCGAAGCCAAGTGATTCTGTGGAGTTATTTTCGGTTATGTTCAGAGCCTCAAGCTTTGAATTCCCAGTCCAGCCATGACAGTACCCCCTATGTACAGCTTTTATAGTGTTTTTGAAAGTTACAGGGTCAAATATAAGGCTTTTCAAACTGAAATTTGCCAGATTGTACGACAAATTCACGGGCTCTGTACATCTGATAGCGCCGCAATTTGCAGGGATCGTAGCTGGGAACAGGTGCTATTTGGGGATGTATGGCATGTGTGGG